TGACAAGGAAGAAGAGATACGCGTCCTTCGATGCTCTGCAAGATTTCGTGGCCCAAGAGATGCGCAGGCAGTGCAGAGGAAGCCTCTTTACACCACTAGGCAAGTTTTTGGTAAGTTTATTGTTGGCTGGTCCTAGCGACTTCCGTATGAGGAATCAGGGCTCAGAAAGCATTGACAGCCCAGGCAAGCTGCGGCAGGCCGCCCTGGACTTTTGCTGCTACAGGCCTGCAGGCCTGCAGACAGCTGGCCTAGATCGCCAGGGCAGGCCCTGTGAAGTGCGGGGGCGCTGCAGGGGTGTTGGCTTGCTACGGGAAGGGTGGCGCCTACACACCTTCCCTTGAAGAGGCAGACCACATTGTGTGAGTACCACAAGCTCACCAAGAGGATCAGTTTTCCCCAGTTGCAACAGAAATGCTTGTACAGACCGGCCTGCAGGCTAACCGGCCGGCCAGGAGGTTGAAGAGAAAATGGGCCAGCGCGTGGGGTTGGGTCTCAGTGTAGCCAGTCGCAAGGGGTGTCCCCAGTCGCCAGTCGCACGGGGTGTCCCCAGTCGCAAGGGGTGTCCCCAGTGAAGGGTGAACCAGTCACGGGGCTGCGTGTCTGTTTCAAGAAACCTTGGGGTCACCCCTTGCGACTCCGTGGGGACACCCCTTGCGATTGTGAATTGTTTGTCACGTTTTGGGATGGCCAAGCCGTGAACATGTGCTTGTTTGTTGGCTCTTGGTGAACCCAAACACACAGAGTTTGAGCCAAAAGAGGGAGTTCACTGGGGCAGTTTGAGCCAAACTAACATGCCCCCCCCAAGATTTGTTTGGGGTTGGGGGCTTGAGCCAACGGTGAGTGGGCTTGGGGAGGTCCTTTGAGGTTGCCAAAAAAGCTAGCACCCACCCCCAAATCACAGCGACGCCAAAAAAGCAGTGTTCCTTGCCCCAAAAAACTTGATGGGGGGGATAGCAATTGAAAAAGAAGCTAGAGCTAGCCAAATGAAAGTTGTTTGGAAATGGGGGCCTTGAGCCTGTTATGGATGGGGCTGCTGAAACAACTTCCCAATTCCCCTTCTATCGTTTTTCCAGTCTGGCCTGCCCTTCCCGCCAGGCTGCTTGCCAGCAGGCCTGCAGGCCTGCGCCAGTCAGGTAGCTTGGCTCTGGCCTCAAGATTCCAGCAAAGAGCCAGGTTGTGGGAAAGAGTTCGGTTGCCGATGCAAAGGTGGCAAAAGGCACAAAGGCATTACTTGCACTCACAGGACGCCTAGCATCCAACAGCAACTCCTTTTGTCAGGTCCGGCAGCTGTGCACAGCCTGGCCATGTGTTGGAAGGCCGGGTGCGGAGGGTGAGATGCCAGGGCTTCAAACGCAGGCCAGCTGGCCTGCTTCAGCCAGCTGGCCTGTTGCAGCCATCTGCAAAATAGTACCCTAGAGATGCTTCCTCTTTTGGCCTTAATCTCATGCAACATTCGGCGTACTGTTTCATGGTCCAACTTCAGAAGTTGGCTCACTTTGCTGGCTAAGGGGCGCCACCCAAACTCCCCACCTTCCCGCCGCTTGGCCAGAACTTCAATTTGCTTCTTGATGTTGTCAGTGATCTGCCACTCTTCCAAGTAGCTGGGGCAGCCACACACTTTGGGTCTGCCCGTCTGTGTACGCTTTCGAGTTGTTTTCTTCTTGTGCTCACGTCCCTGGGCCAGCCTCCAAACCAATACATCTCTATCCAGCTCTTGTAGGCTGCAAATGATCTTGCGGACAAAGCTCTCCGTTGGTGATGCTGTGTGGGTGAAGAGGCTAGGGAAATCCCGGGGTATGATATGGACGTTGTTGCGTTGTCTTTGCTAGTCAAATACATCTGCTCTGCTGCAGCTGCGCTCCTTGCCAGGGCTCGAGCACTCTCCACAAACAAGTTGATGTTCTTCTTGTCGGCTGGCAGGGATGGGAGCCTTTGCTCTAGCACTTGTTTCATGGTCTTCCTTTGATCAAACTTGAGTGACCCAGAAATAACCTCTGCAACGACACTGTGCACAGTCATGCCCAAGCTGTCAGCCACTTCACCAGCTTGTTCAACTTGACGGGAACATGATCCTTGCAGCTTCTTCCCAAACGAGCTTGTGCGAGCATATGCCACCCCCACGGCCTTGTCCTTTGCCTTTGCAGGCCGAACCACTTTGTGGACTGCGCGGGACCCAGCAGAGATCGCTTTGACACGTACTTTTGGAAGCTGGTTCCTTTTCACGGCCACCTTGAGCGTCTTTGCCATTCACTGAAAGTCAGCAGGCCGGCAGGCCAGTGCAACTTTGCTTTTTACTTGAGCCCGTGCACTGTCACAATCAGAGAGAGTCAGAGACTGTTGGCATGCAAATGCAAGTGAATATTATGCACCAGGCTCACTCGGCACAGGCCACTAGACTTGGATTAGATCCTGGCCTGCTGCTGGCCAGCAGGTCCACAGCCTCTGCAGTGGGCTTGCCAGTGCGGTGCATACAACACTCAGCTCTACTGGCAATTTTGGTCAGAGTGGTCGGTTCTGGCCAAATGGCAGGCCTGCAGGCTATGACACCTTCAGACAAGGCACAGGCCGCACAGGCCTACAGGGCCCGCCTGGCCGACCAGTATCAAGACAGGTGTCTGTACTGGTCACTGCGATTTGCTGCGCGATACCGGTCCAGTGTCCTGGCAATCATCATCGACGACATGGATCACTCGAAATTTGCCTGGCCACGGTTCGACTGGCCCAAGATGCCCCACGAGCTCGACAACGTGATCAGGCCTACTGTCACGTTCACTGGCGCTTTGGTGCATGGCTGGAATGTGCAATTTTTCATGGGAGGCTCAGACAATTTTTTGGAAGTTCTGGCCCAGGCAGTCCAGTCAGTCTTTCTGGCCTGCAGTCCTGACAGGCCACTTCCTGAGAATTTAGTTGTTGTTGCAGACAACACTGTGAAGTCTGCCAAAAATCAACATGTGCTGAAGTTCCTGACGCGGCTGGTCTCCCTGGGGATTTTCCGCTCTGCCTGCCTTTTCCACTTGATGGTTGGACATACATAGATCAGCTCTTTTCCTGCGTCCTCGCCATCCTGAAGCAGAAGAAAAGCTGGCAGACCCCGCAAGGGAGCATATTTCAGACTGCGGCCTGGACTGATTCAGATTTTTGCAAGTTGGAGTCAGATTTTTGCTGCTAAGGTCCTATCTGCTGGTTTGAAAATGAAACACCCCTCCAACTGGCTGAGGTCTGCAGCCTCGTGTGGAGAAGAAGGGAGAGAAGCTGATCACCAAGTACTGGTGTGAGGAATTTTCAGGAGTGGCTGGAGCCTATGGGTGTCACACTGAGCAACGCTTTCAGGCCCAGGAGTAGCAGGCCAGCAGGCCAGCCAGGCCTGCAGGCCGAGCCAGAGATTGAAGTTCCACACTGCTACACCATAGTTCAAGGTAGCTCTTTGACAGCCAAGCACAGAGATCTGATGACAGACACTGTGAAGCCAGACGCAACCTACTGTTGCGTGAAGAGGTATGTGCGTGACCTCAACCTGGTTCAGCCACCACTGCTTGTTTCTTTGTCTGGCAGCCAGCGCAAAGTTTCTACTGCCTTGCCAACAGTGGTGCATTCGTTCAGGCCTTTAAGCGGCAAGCAAATTCAGACTTACAGCAAGCTGGGAGACTTATGTGAGCATAAGTATGGGCTGCCAGAAGCTGCAAGGGCTTTGCGGCAACTTGTGTCAGACCGAACGCACCGTGTGTTTGACATTTCATTCCTTGGACAGCCCTCAAGGACTTTTCTCCCTCAAGAGGAGGGTCAGGCAATGATGCCATATTTGCCTCATTCGTGTTGGAACCTTGTGGCACACGTTCAGCGGTAGGAAAAATCCCCAACGCACTGCTTTGCCCTTTTCTGATGGCAGTGCATGGTTGTTCATTGTGCATGGAAGCAGCCATGACCAAGTTTGGCGTAGTAGTTTTGCTGTGGCTCAAGGAAAGCTGGCTGACTGGCCTGCAGGGTGACTGCCTTTTTCCACTCTGGCCATGCGTGTGGGCCAAGCCTGCTCCGTTGTCTTGTTTGGGCACTCAGTCCTCCACCTTGTGTCCAGCGATCACTTTGGGCAGCTTCGCGCAACTTAGATGTGGTGGAAGTCTTCACAGCGGCAAGAAGCGTTGAGCAAGCAGCTAGTGCACCTGGTTTTACTTGGACCGCTGTGCTTACACCAAGGTCAGGCCAACCTGGAAGAAGCATTTCAAGTTTCGTTGCGACTCAAGCTGTGCGCACTTGCAGCTGCCCAGGAGAACGGCACCTTCCCCTGATGGACAGAGCTGAGAAGGATGGAAAGGTGCAGGTCAACGGCAGGTGCACAGAGGGCGACATGGTACCCCGCTGAGCTTGGCGAGGCCAATGTGCTTGCCTGGCAGTCAGCAGGCCATCGCAGAGATGCTTCACTGCTCAACTTGCATTTGCGCCACAAAGGCCGGCCGGCAGCAAGCAGAGATGCCAGCAGCCGCCCGGTCAAGCGCAGTGGTGCAGGCCAGCAGGCCAGCAGGCCTGCAAAGAAGAGCGAGGGCAACCGCAAGCAGGTGAAAAAGAAGCGGAGTGACAGCCAAGCAGTGACCAGCAAGCGCCGCAAAGCAGCTGGTGCAGAAGTTGCTGTGTGTGGGCAGCTGGATGCAGCAGAGGCACTTCCAGATCCATGGGGGGCTGCTGGGGCTGAGCAGGCACATCTCTCTAATGAGCTTCCTGATCCATGGCAATAGATTTGCAAAGCGCAGTACAGGCCTGTGCTTGCGGGGTGCTCATCCATGGCAAAGAGCCACGATGAGTAGACAATAGTATATCGTAGCAAGTTCACGGGGTAAAGTTGAGCTGCGTTTCTCTTGCGAGCACATGTGGTGCAAGACAGTTGAACTTGATTGAATGGTTTGGCAAGCCAGTCCTTTGTGCAGCCGTTTTGGTTTGAGTTTGATTGCATGGAACGAGACTGTGCCTTGCCTTCCCTCATGTTTGGCTCTGGCTTGGGCTGCCTGGAGGAGGAGTCAATCTTTGCCAGCCAAGGCAGCGTTGCTTCACAAGTTGGACTTTCGCAGACCTTGCAGCTGGCGCCTGCTGCCGCTGACCATTGCCAAGGTGAAGGCAACCCAGGCTGCGCATGGTGAGAAATCTGGCAACCCGGCTAGCAGCGCCCCGACCACCAGTCCCAACACTGCAGGCCTGCAGGCCAGCAGCCCAGAGGCGAAAGCTTCCAAGGACTCACTCCGAGTGGCTTCCAGACAGGAGGCACAAGCAAAGCCTAAGCAGACGCGTGGCCAGGCCATGAAGAGGCCGGCCGCCAAGACTTGTGACGCTCCAGTCATGAAGAAGCCAGCTGCAGCGCCAATTGGCCCTTGAAGGGCCACATTTGCTGGACGCGCCTGCCCGGCGTCAGCGTCAGGCCGTGCGAGAGGAGCTGTGGAAGGATCACTTGGAGCGTCTGTTTTGGCGACTGGCTGAGAATGACACGCCGCTGGAGGACGCGCTGGAGTTGTTCTATGAGAAGCAGAAACATCTTGACTGCCATGACCATCGCTCTCCCGCCGAGTTGTCCTTGGAGCCGGCATCCCCGGAGCCTTCTGAGCCTGGGTCCGTGGACGAGGTGCCTGCTGCACAGCTGTCGCCAGCTTCTGATGAGCAGTCTGGAGATGGCCCAGCGCAAGCTACTTGCGAACCACCCGAGAAGATGAAGAAGATGGACTGAGCCATGAGGCTTTGCCGCAGACCAGCAGGCCAGCTGGCCCTCCTTGCAAGGAAGCAATGAAAATGAGATGCTTGCAAATCGTTCTTGGAAGACAGCCATTTCCCTTTGTGAGGGGCAGGTTGGTGATTTGCGCCCACCAACGCGTACGCCAGTTTTCACACCAGGATGACCTGCTGAAAGTACACCAAGCGATCGTGCTGGAGCTGAAGCAGAGCATGGACAAGACTGACGCGCATGGCAATGCCCTGCATGCCGACTGCTGTGAGTGGCTGGCAGCCCAGTTCCCAAGCTCTGAAAAGCTGGCAAACTGGCAGGAGCTTGTGGCACTGGAAGTGAAATGCCCAGATTGCTGGTCTTCAGGATGCTCCATATCAGGCCAGCGTTTTGCAGGACAGGCAGGCCAGCTGGCCCAAGCTTTTGCTTCAAGGGAGCATTGCTTGTGGCAGATGGGGGTCACAGATGTGAAAGGAGCTCCTGCGCTTCATGGGGTGTGCACAAACCTGCAGAAGTTTGTGGCTGGCTATGGCAACGAGACTGCCAAGTACCCTTTGGAAGTTCTCTATGAGTGGGAGGGCACAGGCCCAGGTGCAACTTTGAGTTTGCAGAACGCCGAGGAAGGCGCAGCAGACCTAGCCATCCAGCCATTTTCCCTGACCGTCAGCGCTGGCTCGTCTGTTTGCGTGGCCTCACAGCTGTTCTGCTGGGGCGTCATCCAGCTTGGCACCTTGAACAAGCTGGCCAGCACCGACGGTGTTGGACAAGCTCTGGCCTGCAGGCTGCTGAAGTGTCTCCGACTCTTAGCTTTCAGTTAATGGCTTGATATGTCCAAGGTCCCATTGAATTCATGTGTTCAGGACTGGTGACCACCACCAACCCACAGGCCTCAGTGGAGAGCCAGTGCATGGAGAGCTTGCGGGTGAAAACAGATGCTGCTTCCAGAAGCCGACCCTCTATCTACAACATGCCCTTCATGCTTCTTTGGCAGAAGCAAGTGTTTTTCAAATTTTCAGGTGCGTTGGAGACTTGACCAACTGGGGCCGGCTGTTTGCCTTGCGTGAGGTTTGACAAGATTGTGCAAAAGAAGCTTGGCGCGGGCCCCCGCAAGCTTCGCAAAGACTTGCTCCAGGAGTGCATTTACAAGCACAACAAGGTGGCTGTGGGCAAGGCCAAGGTCACCAATGACGAGGTGCAAGCAATCTACACCTATGACCAGGCCAGCCCGCAGGCCCGCAGGCTTTTCAGGCTTTTGTGGGGCACTGAAGCACCGGCACACACGGGCAAGTGGCTCTTTGTCAAACAAGATCCCTGCTGACAAGAATGAGGTGTGGCATGAAATTGCCACTCACAGCTGGGAGAAGGTGGAAGAGGCCTTGATCAGGTTGAAGACAAAGTGGGACACCAAGTGCGAGGAGTGCATCAACAAGGGCACCAAGCCTCCAGTCCGGCAGGCCTCCCTTGTCACCTCGATGGCGCGACACTGGCAAGGAAGCTGAGGTCTTCATGATGGCATCTTTGATGGTGCAGATTGATGGGCACATGAAAAAGACATTGCCTGCGGATGAGTACAAGCGGATCAAGACCCAGTGGCGGCGAGGCAATTTGGACCAGAAGCTTCTTCCGGAAGTTCAGGCCCTCAGGCCAGCTTTCAAGCCTGCAGACTTGGCCTTTCTACAAGACCTGGCCTGCAGCCCTGCAGGCCGTTTGCCCATTGACTTTGACGCAGACAGTGACACGCAGGAGTTCGTCAGGCAGCTGCTCCTACTGTGCCGTGGCCTGGGCGTGGAGCAGGAGCATGAGGGCCTACCGGGCAAACCTACGCAGATACCAGTCAACTTCCCTTGCAGCAGAGTGTGACTGGCAGCAAGCTGTTTCAGATGCAGTTGAGAAAGCATGGGCTAGTGGCAGCTTTCTCTACCAGATCCAGACAGCCAAGTGCTTTCAAGGAGGGCTGCAGGCCAGCCATGTTGCGCATGACTCCCTTGCAGCCAGGCTTTTGAAGAGCCGGGCTGACGTTCCAGTGCTTGGCGTGGTGAACGTTCCGATGTTGGGCGTGCATGCCTCTAGCTGCATCAAGGACATTGTCTCTGCTTTGGCCACAGACCTGCAGGCCTTTCCGGCCACCACCATGTACATCATCATTCCGCCAAACCAAGCTCAGCATGGGACTGGTCGGTTGGGAAAGCTTGAGAGGGACTCCAAGGTTGCTGCGCATCAAGCCCTGTTGAAGAACGAGCTTGGGTCAAGTGGAATGGTTTGCCTCACGAAAGCACAGGGCGTCTTTTCTACAGCGACGAGCGTGACTTAGGATTCGAGGCCTGGTTGGGACATTTTACCCATTGCGCTTTGTTTTTGTTTAACAGGTTGGGACCGCAGTGTTGATAAGATGCTGACCTGCAGGTCTGGCTTTGCTTGGCGAGCAGTGTGGCAGACCAGCCAAGCTCCAAAAATATTTTTGGCTCCTCTGTCCTGGTGAAGCGCAAGGCCATTCCAGACTTGGCGACTGCCATGCAGCGGTCATCCATGGAGAACTACTTGAAGCGCCACACATTTGCCAGCTCAGGGGACACGAACCGTGACGTTGACATTGAGCGGCGTCAGTGGTTCTCTGGCCAGGCTTTTCTGTCAGAGTTGCTGGGCGCTTGCCTGAAGGGCACCAAGCTGAAGGGCTCCAACCACGTTCTGGTCAAGGACTTTACAATGTACGACGCAGACCTGGCCAAGCATGTGATTGCCCAGAATTCCACCACTTGCAGGCTCTATTCCTGTGAATGAAGTCAAATCCCTCACCAGACCTTCCTACCGAAACCAACTAGCACGGCCGTCATACGATGGAAGAAAATTTGCGCCCGGCGAGAGATTGATGGTCTCTTCATAGAACACACGCAGTTATGACGGCTTCCAAGGAAGCCGCTGCGGGTGGTTCTGTTCCGCAGAAGCCCTCTTCACTCGCTACGGTGGCAAATAGGGGGGCCCAAGTCACCCCCGCAATGTACACAAACCAGGAAACAATTGCACAATGTACAACAATCAGCAAAGCGCACTTGTTTTCCTTTCCTGACAGCTACAAGTACTGCACAGGCCTTGAGCCAAAATATGACAAGCGGATTGATTGCATCATGATTGGAAAAGCACAGAAAAGACTGCGTCATATACATACATGTATACCTGGACCCTCCGGCGGCAGAACTTCCTGCCGAAAGGCCCCGGTGGCAGAAAGTTCCGCCGAAAAGCAAAAAACGCCGCCCGCGAGAAAAATCGCCAAAACACAACAAACACTCTGACACGCTGAGGCTGAAACATGTTTCCGCGAAATTCCGCCGATTTCCCGCCGATTTCCTGCTGCCGTTTTTTGCGGAGGAATTGGTTTTGAAAAAAAAACGTGGTCAGGAAAACTATATAAACGCCGCCAACAGCAAAAAGGCGCCTTTTTCCAAGAGGGCAAAAACTTCCAGTGTAGGCGGAAAGCGTGTCTCCACTTGCGGCTGCACCGTCTGCCTGCGCCGTCTGCGCCATCTGCGCCATCTGCACACCATCTGCGCCGTCTGCGCAGACTGCGCTGTCTGCGCCTCCTGCGCCGTCTGCGCCGCGCCGTCTGCTCCGTCTTCGCCGTCTGCGCCGTCTGCGCCATCTGCGCCATCTGTGTCTGCGCCGTCTGCGCCATGTGTGCCATCTGCGCCGTCTGCGTCGTCTGCGCCATCTGCGCTGTCTGCGACGTCTGCGCCGCCTGCGCCATCTGTGCCTTACGCCGTGTGCGCGTTCTGCCCCGTCTGCGCTGTCTGCGCCGTCTGCGCCATCTGCGCCGTCTGCGCCATCTGCGCCATCTGCGCCGCTTGCGCCGTCTGCGTTGTGTGTGCCCTGCGCCGTGCGCGCTGCCTGCACCATCTGAACCGTCTGCGCGCTTTGCGATGTCAACAAAGACATTGGCAACTGTAGGGAGCAAACGCGTATCAAAAACCCCTGCTGCGTGCGCGACACAATAGGCGGTCACCGCCGTACAGTTCGCCGTGCGCCCGTAAAAAAAAGTTCTGGCTTGACACAAATTCTGAGTGGCCGCAGCAGGCAAAAAAGCATCTGGGTGTCAAAAAGCACCAATTTTGCAGCTGGGCACAGCATCCGCAGGCAATCGCCAGGGTACAAATTCTGGGCGGGCCGGCCAAATTTGGCGTGTGACCCCCTACAATGTAGACATTCTCTCATTGCCTGCTGCGGGTGCTTTGCACTTGTCCCTCGGTGACCCACTGCTTCCATCTTTCTTCTTTCTTCTTTCTTTCTTTCGTTCTGTCTTTCTTTCTATCTTTCTTTCTTTCTTGTCTGTCTTTCTTTCTGTCTTTCTTTCTTTCCTTCCTTCCTTCCTTCCTTCCTTCCTTATTTCTCTCTGTCTGTCCGTCTGTCTGTCCTTTTTCTCTCTTTCTTTCTTTGCGTCTTTCTTTCTGTCTTGCAAACTTTCTTTCTTTCTTTCTTTCTTTTTGTCTTGCAGTTTTCCTTCCTTCCTTTCTTTCCTTCCTTCCTTCGTTCTTTTGCTTCAGTTGTCTTTCTTTCTTTCGTTCTCTCTTTTTCTCTCTCTGTCTCTCCCTCTCATTTTCTATCCATTTATCGTCTGTCTGTTTATCTATCTCTCTCTCTTCGCCTATCTAGAAACCTATCTTGCTATCTACCTATTTAACTCGCTCTCTCTATCTGTCTAACCTTTCTTTCTCTCTCGCTATCTCTCTCTCTCTCTCTAGCTACCTGCCTATCTATCGATCAAGTGGCAAGCGCAGCCACATCGCGAGGTCAAGTACACATTTCGTGGCAAGCGCTGAACTTTCGAAAGGTCGGGTAAAGATTGTGTGGCAGGCGCAGTATGTTCGTAGACAGACTGATAGAGAGAGATAAGTAGATCATCCGTCTATCTAACCTGTTTTCTCTCTATCTATCTACCTACCCACCTACCGCCTCTACGCATCCATCTATTTTGCAATCTATCTTATCTGTATCTATTCATTTATTTCCAC